GTAGATACACAGTGAGAGGCTAGATTCCAGGAATCCTGACCTCTTTTTTAGGGCAGTTCCCTGGAGATTGCTTAGGCATTGACACCATTTCTAATGATATTTCTGTAAGAAAGAGTATTTTGTGTTTGCTTTTACCTAGACCCCTGAGACCATCTATGTTATTGGCATCAAGGGCACCCTTGTCCTCCTTCAGTGCTGAGCTCAGCACTGAGCTGGGGGGCAGAAGGAAACTGGGGTGGAGGGCACTGGAGGACCTCAGAGAGACAGGGAGGGTTTGCCTGAGGTTTCGATGATAGCGTCACTTCCGTGTCTCTCTCCCTCTGTATCTTTTCTCTCAGGCACAAGAAAAGTGTTCTGAAAGGTACACAGTAAATGCTTCTCTGGTGTTCCCAGTCTTGGAGCATAATGCAGTGCTGTCTGTAAGGGCTACAATTTGGAATTTGACTATTTTACAGTGAGGGTGTGAGTTTGTTTTTGGCATGAGGGCTGCGAGACCTGATGATAGAGCCCTGTGTTGTTCCATTCCATCTCCCTGCCCTGGGATCTGCCAGCAGCAGCACCAGGAAGGAGGAAGGGGATGCTCTGGATGGCAGCTTGTGCCGGAACAGTCTGCATGTTGGCTGGGGCCTGTGACTTCAGCCTCAGTTGGATTGACTTTCCTTGCCTGTTTTTCTGGAGGGCCTGGAGTTTTGGGAGCAGGCCAGCTCTAGCTGACCACTTCTGCTGCCATAGCCAAGCACCAGTTACCTGTGGTCATAACCTGTCACTCCCAGGAGCCTCCTTGAGTTGAAGGGGCCAGGCACCCTTTTGGGACCTGCAGTCTCCATTTCAGTTCAAAGCTGTCTACAAAGAAGGCTGGGAGCCAAACCCTTGTTTCTTCTTGAGTCCCCAAGGCAGGAGGGGGGTTTGAGGTCCAGATAGGATCTGATTGTTCTGCAGATCAGAGGTCAGATGTGAGGATTTGTTTATGTAGTTGTCTAAAGGTTTTCCTTTTGAGTAGTATAGACTAGCTGCTTAAAACCCGGCAGATAGTTTAAAGGAATTATGTGCTTAAACCCCAGACTTCTGCTGTTCTCTTGTACTGAATACATCATTTTCCTTTTGAATTCTTTTGTTAAGGATGAGAGCATAGTAATTGGACCTAAAAATGTATCCAAATTATAGCATCTTCATCAGAATTAGCTGACAACATGATTATGATTGTATTTCAGGGTACAGATCATTTTTCGTATTAGTCACTATAAAAGTGAAAGTGGCGGTGTTGTTATTTTGGCAGATTTACAGTTCTTCCTCTTTGGGGGATGTGGTGTGATCTGATGTCCTCTGTGTGCTTTGGCATTTGGCTCTTTGCCTGCTGTTTTCAGAATATCCCAAGAAGAACACAGTCACTCTCCATGTCTGGGGTCTTGTATTCAAGAGGGTGCCCCATGTGCTCTGCTGCAGCCTTCTGGGAATCCCATTTTTAAAGACAAGATTAGACTGTCAGCGGCAAAGCAGAGCAAACCAGCTCACACATCTCCTCTTTCTGAGCTGCCCTTGTTTGGTCACGGGCAGCCTCTTGACTGCTTGGTCTGACTCTGTTCCTGTAGACCTGCAACTCTGCCTGGATAGGCCTCCTTGATCAGTTTTCACCCGGGGCAGCAGCAGTGTATGCCTTTGTCCTTTGTCTCTTTGGTTCAGGCCACTGTTTTTCAGGTGCATTGAAGTCCATACATTCCTGAGGGCGTGGTGTGAGGGGTCGCTTTGGGGTCCGGGGGCAGAGGGTAAGTATGTAGAGAGCTGATGCAGCTCAGATGCAGGAGCCCCAGATGGGCGTGTGGCATGAGGCCTCCCTGCTGGACCTTCCAACCCAGCTGCTTCTTGTCTTTGCTCGCGAACATCTGACTCCTCCAGAGTCTGCCAGTTCCTACTGCAGCGATCGTGCCTAGCCCTGAGGAGGCTGCAGGTATGCACCAGGTGCTGTGCTGGCAGCAGATGAGCTCATTTACCCTGCACCTGCCATTGCGGTGTCGCTTTGGCTGTTTTTTTCCCTGTGTCTGCACGTTGCCTCATTACCTGCAGTGCTAAACCCCAGCCATCTTCTGGCTGAGAAGTCTCTTCTGCCACTGGTGACCTCTTCCTGTGCAGGCATTATCCACTACACCCTGTCTCAGGGCTGTAATGTATGAATGTATGGTTGAACCTGCAGTTGTGTGAGTCACCTTGGGTCTGAGTGCTTGTGTCTGCCTCAACCCCAGAACTTTAGGGTTTGTCCTCTGCCTAACCGAGCTCCGTATTCAGCAGGCACTTGGGATGCCGTGCTACATGAGCATAGGTGGCCAAGGTCAGGTACTACCTTTGGGTGCCAAGGCCTTATGCTCCAGAGGAGCTGAGTGCTGGTTTATTCACAGCAGTCTCTGGCGTCATGCATTGTAGTTGTATGTATGTAGTTACATGCATTATGCATGCAAAAGTAGTTGTCTTTATTTATCTCTCCAGGTGATATGAGGCCGAGGTGTACTAGGAGACTGTGATAACTCTGTGGTTCCTCAGAAGTTCTGTGTTATATGCTACTGGATTCTCATTCTTCTGAGTACATTTGAGGGACCAGGGATAGTTGGAGGCCAGTGGGAAATCATAGACCACAAGGTGCAGTTAATCTGTCATGTTCCTTGTTGTGTCTACCTTCCTGGTGAAATGTTCTCCTTCTCTTGGTGGCACTGGCCTTTGAGTCATCCTTTGGTCTGCAGGGCCAGGGTGGTTTGTGGTTCCTGCTCGCAAGTACACCAGTGACCAGGTGTGAGGTTGGTGAGTGAGTTAGGAATTGTTTCTTCTCTGTCAAGAGTATCATTTTGACATTGCAGGGCACAGACCTAAGGATTTTAGCTTTCACTTGGAGAAACCCATCAGCTTGTGGTGTATAGCCAGACAGACCTGTGTCAAGGGCCAGGTGACAGTGTTTGGGCTCTGCTTCCTGCCCACTGTGCCTGGGGCATCTTGTTTCCCTTCTCCCAGCCTGCAGTTGACTCACTGGTGGGCTGGGGGGATTACAGACCTTTTTCTGATCAGTCATAGGACTGATGTAGGAAGGGTGTTGTGAACAGCATGGCCTCCTAGGAAGGAAAGAGTACTGATGGAAACTCTTCTTGTTTGGGATCCATTTTGGGTTTCTTTGAGGTAAGCATTCTTGGAAAAAATATTGATTGATAGAGTTTCATTGACTCAGCAGTGTTCTGCTTTGTTAAGTTTCCCTTTCATGTGTTATTTGGTAGGAAAGAATCCCCTGAAGTTGTTATCCCTCTGCCTGCCAAGATCAAGCCCTTTCTGTGGATTCAGACTGAGGTCACTGTGGGCCTCTGGGCCGTGGGTTCCTTCCTCACCCCACCAGAGCCTCGGGGGCCTTGCCCCTTTGCTGCATCCTCCTTTTCTGGCTGGGAGTTTTGCTTTGAGGAGAAGGGTAAGAGTGGTGTTGGGAGAGTGAGGAAGGGCAGATCAAGAGAGGTCCTTGTTGTGAAAGGGGAGGATGGCGAGCTTGTTTGCTGGCCGGTGGAGGAGGCCAGGAGAGAGGGAGGCATCAGACCAGAGAATGAAGCAGAAGTGACCAAGGTGCTGTTGCTGAGTGGGCGAGAGGGTTGGGATTTGAACACACAGCTGGTGTCCAGGACCTTCTGTAGGACTCTCAAGAGCAGTCTTCTGGGTGTAAGTGGAGAATTTAAAGGCCATAACTGTACCAATTCAGTGATGCTGAGGCTTTTATCTTCCTGATACTGTCAGGGATAAGATGACCCTGCTCTGGGTAGATCAGTGCCCCACCCTCACCTCTTGGTGCCACTGTGTGTGTGGACCCTCACATTGGCAGGAACAGGAAACAGGTAGGTGGTAGGTGTGATGGAGATGCTGCCTCCTGGGAAGCAGGAAGCCCAGACGGTGGCTGCGGGTGGGAAGGAGGAGGGATGCGTGGTTTACTGGCCTAGACAGAGCTCCATAGGCAGACGTGTCTGTCTAGCCTGGATGGACAGCAAATGTAGAAATCCCATGGGAGTGCCACATGTGGAGAGTGCCCTGAGGCCACTGGAGAGGGTCAGTGGGAGCCAGGCAGTGTGGTACAGGTTTCTGGCAGCTCTGCGTGGCTGTGGGCAAACTGTGGAGCAAGATGGCTGGACCAGTTGCTGCTGCTGGAGAGGCTCATAACCTGCTCTTCTTGTTCACCTTCTCTGACATAGAGATCATGCCAGCCTCCCCAAGGTCTCCCAGCTCTGTGGCATTTAGGGACAGGAGTCGGGCATTTCTCCTCTGGCTGTCTCACTTCAGAGCCATCATCATTTCTCTCATACCAGTTCATCTTTTCAGTGTGAATTAAAAATAAGAATAAAAAAACTGACTTTTTTTGGATCCTATATGCCTATAATTATTTCATCAGACTGAAAAACGAATGTTTTGTTCCTATTATGTCTTCCAGTTTATATAGTGGAAAGAACATAATGGACTATTAGTAAATTATGCAAACAATGATAATGCTTACGTGACAGTTAACTGGTTTAAAGAAAGCAACAGGTCCCTATTCTTGTTTTGTTTGTAGTTACCTTGTCAGTCGTTAAAGGTTACATTGGCTTTTGAGAAATGCTGTTTTGGTCAGTGTTTCGATGCACCCCATTTGCCAGGGTGTCTAGCTAGGTGTGTGACTGCTGTCAGAGTGGCTCGTGGTATGAATACAGGACTTAATTCAAGTGCCAGGTTCATGTTGTACTTGGCTGTGCTCTGCTGGGCGCTGAACTTGAGAGCAGATTGGATCAAAGGGAGGCCTGTGCTCCATACCCGATACCCACTGTCCAGAAGGACAGAGACTTTGAAACACTGGAGAAAGGATGATCTGGTGCCCAGGACCACCCGAGGTGTCCACAAGGTAGACACGAGTCTGCCTGGTGCTGGCAATTGTGCAAGCAGCCCTTAGTGTGTTCTTTGGGAACTGGGAATAATCACTGTTAAAATAAAATAAAATATTTTTCTTTCTTTCGTTACAGAAAACACGGCCATTTTCATGTGTAAATGTTGTAATCTCTTCTCGCCAAACCAGTCAGAACTGCTCTCCCATGTCTCTGAGAAGCACAGGGATGAAGGAGTTAATGCAGATGACATCATCATTCCCCTGAGGCCCCTGAGTACTCCTGAACCCTCCAACCCCAGCAAAGAGGGAGACGGTAAGGGCACTGACTCCGCTAGCCGGGCTGGGGACTCTGCTCTCAACTGCTGTGAGGCCGGCTCTCTGCTCTGCAGGCGCAGGGAAGTCAGGGTAGTTGTGCAAGTATAGATTTCTGTATTTCAAATTGTGTCTTTAAACTCCCCATATGGGGCGCTATTGTAGGTTCTCCTCCCATAACTGCTTGGCAAGTACATGAATGGAGGGAGGAAAAGCCAGTGGCATAGAAAGTGAACTTGTCGTCACACAAGCGTGGGTCAGACTAACTCAGGCGTTGTAAGATGAAACACTTGAGGCGAATGATGTCCTCTAAACCTCAGTTGCTTACCTGAAAAATGAAGACAGATAATGCAGATTAAGTCATCATACAAATATAATACCTAGGATAAGACAAGAAGGCTGTAAGGGGAGGATATTGTTATATGTGATCAATGAATTAGTATATGTAGTCTTGGAACATTTCCACTCTGTGATTCTGTAAGTGTGGAACAAGAATTCAAATCACAAAATTTGCTTCCTGCAGAATCTTTTAGGCTCACAGTTAGTGTGCAAGATGAGATATCTGATCTGTAATGTCCAGACATCTCCCACTGAATGGCATGTGATGCAGCAGATGTGTGGATAGAGAAGCCATTTGGACACTATAATTAGGTCCCCACAGACTACAAAGAACACACATATATATATAGAGAGAGAGCGAGCAAGGAGGCACAGCTGCAAACATGTTTAAAAAACACTTCCCCAATCTATTTTTATAAGAGGAGAAGCAACAGCCTGTCTCCTGTGCAGAAACCCAGTGTGTGGCAGTAAATGTCTCACTGCAGGGTTCATTAGCCACACTCATAATCCAGCTGCTCTTTCTTGGGAATATCCAGACTGACATTTCTGAACAGGCTGGCTTGTTGATTGTTTGTTGGACACTGTTAACAAGGAGAGACTCCAGACAAAAATATTTGGTTAATAAACCTGTCTGGCCCATCCCCAGAGTACTCAAGAGTTATACGAGACAAGATTAAACTGTTTAGATGCTGGGAAATCCTGCTAGTTACTGTTAGCAGCATATGATGACACACTAAGAAAATGTAGCACTTGAAACCAGTAATGGCAAATAAATGGGATTGATTAGTATTTGAACCATAAGCTAGTGTTGGTGGTCTGCCTTAGCTCCTCCTAGGCCTGGTGTTGTAGGAGATCTATTTTCCTACTGAATTGTCTTTGATACTCTTGTTAAAAATCAGTTGAAAAACATTTATTGTTTTAATTCTGGACTCTATTTTATTCTGTTTATCTGTGTTTGTCCTTATGACAGTGCCATACTGTTTAGATAATCATAGTTTTGTACTAAATTTTAAAGTGTGTATGTTTGTAGGGTGGTTGTGAGTCTTTCAAATTTGTGCTTTGTCAGAATTGTTTTGGCTTTTGAGAGTTGCTTGTAATTCCATAATAATTTTAGGATAAGCTTGTCTATTTGTTCAAGAAAAGGCATTTAGGAATTTAATGTTTCTTTTGGGTGTGTGGCTCAGTTTGGGTACTACTACCATCTTAATATTATTTGACTTTCCAATTCATGCTTTTTAGTTATTTGGGCCTTTAAATTTCTTTCAACATTGTTTTATAGATTTCAGTGTGCCCACGTTATATTTCCTTGGATACTTTTATTGTTACATGCTATGTTTTAAAATTCTATTATGAGTTGAAACATTTTCTTAATTTCGTTTTCAGATTGTTTATTGCTAACTTACAAATACAAGTCTCATTTCATCTTGTATCCTGCAGTCTTGCTGGATCTGTATTAATTTTTTATTAGTGTATATTTGCAATACTTAATGAATACATTCATTGTGGGTAATTGATAATTGTACATGCATACTTAAATTCTTTCTATGCCTGCTTTCCCAATTCTGCCCCTCCTTCTCCCCCATCTCATGGTTTTTTTTCCATTTGTGAAAGGCCTACCTGATTTTTCTTATTTTATATCTTTTATATTGTTCCTTAATGTATTTATATTTTGGGTTTCTCATATAAGAGAAATCATAGGCTATTTTACTTAACATGGTCCAAGGTGCCTCCATTTTTTAACAAGAAACTCATGTTTATCCTTCTTTATAGCAGAATAACTTTATCGTACATAAAAATCACATTTTCTTTATCCATTCATCTGCTGATGGGCATATGACTAAGACTTGGTTATTATGAATTGTGTTGCTGTAACATGGATATGTATATATCACTGTATTCAACTCTCAGGGAAGGTAGCTATGAGCGGAACAAATGGCTGGGCTGAATGAAATTGCTGTGGTCCATTTTTGGGGGATCTCCATACAGATTTCTGTCATGGTTGTATTAGTTAGCTTACACTCCCACCAGCACTGTGGAAAGGTTCCTTTTACCTTTCCACCTTAACATTATTATTTGATTGTAATTCCTTAACATTATTATTTGATTTCTTAGTGATAGTCATTCTCCTGGATTAAGATGGGGAGTGTCAGGGCTGCTTCAATTTGTGTTTCTTTAGAGACCATTGAGCACTGTTTTCATGTGTTGGCCATTTGTCCTTCTCGTGAAAAGTGTCTGTTCTTTTCCATTACCCATGTTTTGATTGAGTCTTTTATTTTGGGGGTCTACTCTTACTGAGTCCTTTATATATTCTAGATTTTGACCCTCTATTTGAGGTGTGGCTGGCAAAATTTCTTTTTCCATTCTGTAGGTAGTTTTTTACTTTGTTGAATTATTTCTTTAATTTCGTTTTCAGATTGTTCATTGCTAATTTATAATGCAATTTTCATTTGATCTTGTATCCTGAAAGAATTACAGAGTGAGACCCTGTCTAAAAAGTTTTGCTGTGGCAGCATAAGCGCCTACATTGCAAGCAGGCAGTCATGAGTTCGATCCCCGATACCGATAAAAAAAAAAAAACGTTTTGCTGTGGAGAAACTTTTTAATTTGATACAAATCCATTTGATTTTGATTTTTGGTGTTTTTTTTTTGTGTAACTTGGGTTCTGTTCAGAAAGTCTTTGCCTATGGTTTTGAGTTCAGTAACTTTACCTATTTTATTTTTCATGAGATTAAATATTTGTATTTTAATATTTAGATATTTGAACCATTTTCATTTTAGTTTAATACATGATGAGAAATATGGATCTAACTTTAATGTTCTGTTTGTGGATACCAGTTTTCCCAGCACCATTTGATAAAGAATCTAACCTTTTTTCCTGATTCTGGTTTTGGTTCCTTTGTCAAAGATCAAATGTGACTGTGATTGTTTCTGGATCTTTTACTCTGTTCCCTTGATCCAGTTGTCTGTTTTTGTGCCACTATCATGCTGTTTTTATAACTATAACTTTGCAGTATAACTTTAAATCCAGAATTGTGGTGTCTCCTGCTCTTCTCTTGTTATCTAGGATTGTTTACGGTATTCTGATGTCTTTTGTTTCTATAAGGTTTTAGGAGTGATTTCTCTGCTGCTATAAGGAAATCTGTTGGTGTTTTGCTTGGGAATGCATTGTATGTCTGTATCAGTTTTGGAGGTATGACCATTTTGAAAATGTTGATTGTCTATTCAGGAATAGGGGATATCTTTCCATTTTCTAATGTCCTCTTTAATCTCTGTCTCTCTCTTTTCTAAGAATACTGTAGCTTGTGTTGTAGTGGTCTTTTACTTCCTTGCTTTGGTTAATTCCTAATTTAATTTTTTCCCTCATGCTGTTGTGAATAGTATTTTAAAAAATCTCCTTATTCATATCATATATAAAGAATAATTTAACTTTTTCCTATCCTATATGTATCCCTTTTCTTTTCCTTTCTCTTCATTTTCTCTTCTTTCTTTTTTACAGCATCTCATTCTGTGATTCGTGCTAGCCTTAAACTCACTGTGTACCCCAGACTGAACTCCATTTGTGGTAGTCCTCCTGCCTCAGGCTCCCAAGTGCTGGAATTAGAGTTGGGTGCCACCATGCCTGGCTATTTCTTTCACCTGACTGTTCTGGCTAATGTCTCAAGTAGTCGTTTGAACAAGAGTGGTGATAGTGAACATCCTTGTTTTGTTCCTGATTTTATAGGGAAAGATTTCAGATTTTCTCTATTTAATATGTTGTTGATTATTGGTTTGTGATGAATATGTTATATCAGATTGAAATAAGGTCCTTCTATAACTGCATTCTTCAGGATTTTCATCATGGATGGTTATTGGATTTTGTCAAAGGCTTTTTCTGCATCAGTAATATGATCATATAATTTTTGTCTTTGCTTCTTTTTATATGATATACGTATTTTGATTTGTGTAATTTGAATACGCCTTGGATCCCTGTGATGAAGCCTACTTGGTCATGACGTAGGATCTTTTTTGATGATTTGTTACCTTCTGTTTGTGGTATCTTGTTGAGAATTTTTGCATCTGTGTTCATTGAAGTGATTAGGCTTTGGTTTTATTTTTTAGTTGGGTTCCTTATCTGATTTTAGAATCAGAGTAATGCTAGTTTCCAGCAATGTGTTTTGAAGTACTCCTTTCCTGTGAATTTCATTAATGACTTTGAGGAGTATTAGCACTGGTAGCCTCCCTGAAGATCTTACTAAGTAGTGAATCCATCAGGTTCTGGGTTTTTCTTAGCTGGTAGGGTTTTTATTTTGTTTTGTTTTTTACATTGATACCTCAGTTTAATTGCCTGTTACTGGATTGTTCAGAGTTTTTATGTTTTATTGGTTCATTCTTGGTAATTCATGTATGTCTAGAAATTTGTTCATTTCTACAAGATTCTCCATTTTGTTGGAGTATAGTTTTTCATAGTTGTTACTAATGACCTTCTGGATTTCAGAAGTATCCGTTGTGATTTTGCCTTTCTCATTTCTTTTCAAAATTTCTGTTGGTACATTTTAGGTATATGTAATCATCACATTCATCATAGAGAATTTATTACATAGACATGATATAACTTGATTCTTTTATTCGCTATTCCCTACCCCTCCCTTAAGTCTCTTTCCCCTCCCCACTTACAAAAACTTT